CTAGTCACCTCAGCCACTCCAAACTCTGTCTGCTGTCTGTTTATTTCTTTATTTATTTAAGACAGAGTCTTGCTCTGTCGCCCCAGGTAGAATGCAGTGGTGTCATCATAGCTCACTGCAACCTCAAACTCCTAGGCTCAAGAGATCCTCCTGCCTCAGCTTCCTGAGTAGCTGGGACTACAGGCGCACGCCACCACACCTGGCTAATTTTTCTATTTTTGGTAGAGATGGGGTCTTGCTCTTGCTCAGGCTGGTCTCGAACTCTTGAGCTCAAGCAATCCTTTTGCCTTGGCCTCCCAGAGTGCTAGGATTACAGGCGTGAGCCACCGTGCCTGGCCCTGAACTCTGTCTCTTACTTAAACTTAGTGAAACTACCAGGCTCTGTTTGGGTTCTTTTCCTTGTGATGAGGCCTGGAAACACTCTATAGGCAGTATGTTTGGGCATTTGTAGAGCTCACCTCATTTGTTTTTCTTTTCTCAGGAAGCACTGTCCTGCACTGCCTTTTAGCTTTCTAGTTGTTTAGGCAAGAGGGGAAATCTGGTTCTTGTTATTCCATCATGGTTGGAAACAGACGTCTCTGTCTCATCATTTTGATGTCCATTTTCTCCTCCTTACCCAGCATAAATTCTCTCTTTGATCATTATAATCTATTCCCTTCAATACACTTTTGACTCCCTTTCCCCTCTCTTGTATTATTTGGGAAAACCACAACCCTGGTTAAATCTATCTGTTTACCTTTCAGTGCCAGCACCTGTGCACCTGAATGTCACTGGAGGAAAAGATGCAACCATGCTATTTTCACTTTAAATTCATGACCACAAGCTACAAGTGAGCCCAGTAATGCTGCACTTCCATAGTCATTTATTCCTCCACTTTCCTAGATGTCAATTTCACATTTTTTTCTTTCAAAATTCCAGCATCTCCTCCCCAGTCTTCCCAGGGATTGTGTTTATTTCCACATCACTGAGAAATTGAAGCAATAAAAAATGAACTTCTCAGAGTTGTACCACATCTACCCTCCACCAGCATCCTTTGCTGGTTCTTCCTCTTTTCTCTATCTCTTAATGTTGGATGTGTAAGAACTCAGGCCTGGGGCCTTTTCTCTATTTAGATCCACTCTCACAGTGATCTCATCCAGTAACAGCTTTTAAAACCCATCTGTATTCTGATGACTTCCCAATTTGTATTTTTTTACCAGACCTTTTAAATTCTAGATTTGAGTATTGAGCTGTCTATTCAGCATCTTCACATGAATGTCTAATGGATATGTCAAATGTTATATATCTAAAACTGATCTCACAAGCTTTCCTTCTTAAGCCTGTTCAAGCTTTTCCATTCTAGTTGATGATGTAATGCCGTACTTCTTGGACAAAAGCCTTAAAGTCATGCTTTACTCCTTTTTCTCATATCCCAGATGCTTACTGTCAGGAAATCCCGTTAGCGCCATCTTTAAAACATCTAAAATCTAACCACTTCTCACTGCCTTCAACTCGCATTGCTATCATCTCAGTCCATGTCATCAGCAGTGCATTCCAATCCTACACCCAGCTTTAATCCTTGACCCTTAAAATGTATTCTCAACATAGTAATCAGGGAGATTTTAAAATGTAAATCAGATCATGGCACTTCTTGCTCACAGTCTTTTAATGGCTATCTCACATTGGAAGCCAAAGTTTTCATAATGGCCTTGAAGGTCCTACAATATCCAACTCAGTAAGGTCCAGTAAGATAAGTTACTTCCCTGACCTTATCTGCTCTGTCCTCTTTCTTTACTTTGCTCTACCTTGAGTACATTAAGCATGCTCCTACCTTATGATCTTTGCATTGTCTGCTTCCTCTGCTTTAGAATACTTTTCCCCTAAATATTCCCCCATTGCCAACTCCCCATTGACTTCCCAATGACCGATTTGTGTGTTTGAGAAGACAAGGGAGGGGATTGGTTGTGCCATACAGAAGGAAGAATAAAAGGGCAGGGATATGGCAAATGTCGAACTCTTCTTGGTGAAAAAGAGCCAGTGGATGAGATAATCCCAGACCTGTTAGCCACTGGTGAGTCCAGCCTACTTGCTATTCTGAGTAATAATGAAAAGAATTGAAGAAGAGCCTTTGTAGCAGGTTAATAGAGATGAGGCAGCTTTCAGTTAGTGGAAAATTCATAAATCAGGGTTCATAATTTGAAGATTCCTTTGCTTATTAATAAGGCATTCTCTTTTGTAGATAGTGCATTTGGTGTCCTGCTGCTTAGTTATGATTTAATGATATGCTCTTTGATTTAATAGAGAATAGATCAAAGAACTGCTTGAGCATCATTTTTGGAATCTATTTTAAAAGTTTAGTAGAAAATATTCAATTATTAAATTCCTGTTTAAATTGAGTATTAGGGGAAAATGTTTCTGTAGTTAATCTTGTATGTTTCATCAGACAGGAGAACATAAATGTGTTTCCTGTTGTTTAGCTATATCTATTAGATTTCAGAGCCTAACCAGTATTTATCTTAAGTACTTAGCTCCTCTAGGTCTATGTACTTTTTTGATTTTTAATTGCAGGACTTAAAATACTATGTTTAATTTTATAAATTGCCAAAAGTGCTTATGGAAATAGACTTAGTTGAAATTAGAAAGTATCCTTGTTAAGAGGGTATTCTGTATTCTGATTTTCCATACCATAGTTAAGAAAAAACTTGCATGTTCTTTCCATAGTTCTTTCATATTTGTTTATTTGCATACCTTTTCCTCAGAAGGAAAAGTGTTAATAAAAGAATAAATGAGGGTTACAGGAAAATAATAAAAGTAGAAAAGTAATGCAAAGCCAGGCATAAGGTAAGTACACAAAGTATATATGCCACAGGATCACAAATATGACCCTTAATTTTTCATTAGCCAATACTAACAGGAAAGCAAAGTTACCTACATGATTCATTTAAGTCCATAAGGTAAAAACAAACTAGCTGTTCAAGAGAGAAGCATAGCTAATCCTGTTACTAAATTCTGAGTGGATATTTCCCGTAGGTCCTTAGAATATTGTGTGATAGAAGCAGACACTTGGGGCAAGATAGTATAATAACTTTTAGAATGAACTGTGTTGATGTAAGCAGGATTCACAAGAGTATGATGTTAGTCCATGGTTCTTAATCATTTTTGGGTTATAGCCCCTCTAACATTTTTATGTAGTTTTATCATAAATTTGATATGCATGCAGATTGTGAACTAACTCCAAGAGATTCTGACCCAGTAGGCCTGAGGTAGATTTTAGGAATCTATATGTGTAATCACCATCCCAGGTGATTTTGGTGTAAGTTGCTGTCAGACCATATGTTGAGAAACTATTTCAGGGTTATAATTTCAGGAAATTTGCAGATCTGCGTAGGCAATACATGCACAAACCTTAGGTTAAGAACCTGTGATGGAAGTGAGCAACACCCTCAACAACAGTTATATAGTAAAAGCAATCATGAATTTCAGGGGGTGATTGGTGCTGGTATATTAGAAAATTAATGACTTTTGTTGAAATTTATTGGCCCAAATAAATCACATGCCATGCTTAACTTGAAAAGGAATACTACTAATAACTAACATATATGGAGGTCTCTCTCTTTTTCTTTTTGGTAGTGTAATTGATGATTTTTTCCCCCTAATGTTGAACCACTTTCACATTCCTGGGATAAACTGTATATGATTATGAGGTATCATTGTTTGGATATGCCATTTTGATTTGCTAATATTTATTTAGATTTTTGCATCTATATTCTCTGGTTTCCATTTCTTGTGCTGTTCTCAGCAGTTTGGTGTCAGGGTTTTGTTAGCATTATAAAATGAGATGGCTGTCTTTCCATGTTGTTTTTGGTTTTGTTTTTGTTTGAGACGGGGTCTCTAGGCTCTTTTGCCCAGGTTGAAGTGCAGTGGGTCAATCACAGCTGACCAGTGTAACCTTGAATTCCTGGGCTCAAGTGATCTTCCTGCCTCAGCCTCCTGAATTGCTGGGACTATAGGCACATGCTACCATGCTGGGCTAATTATCTTTCCATGTTTTTTTCCCCTCAGTTTTCAAAGTTTATGTAGATTTCAAATATACTTTTTGTGATGAGTTTAGGACAACTGCAAAATTTAGAGGATACAGTCTCCGCATAAGACCACTCTCACTTCTGACACCAACTGCAAGTTTGAGGGGTTCCTAAAACTACTCTCAGGTGTGATAATTCATTAGAAAGTTTTATAGAATTTAGTGAAAACTGTTGTACTCGTAGTTATGATTTGTTATGGGAAAAGATTCAGAGTAAGGTCAGCCAAAGGAAGAGACTCACATAGGGCAGAGTCTAGGAGGGTTCCAAATACAGAGCTTCTCTTGTCCTCTCCCTGTGTAGTCAGGACACATTTCACTCCTGGCATCAATGTGTGACAGTATGCACGAGAACTACCAAACAGGGAAGCTCATCCAACTTTCACTGTCTGGAGTTTTTATGGAGGCTTTTCAAATAGGCGTGATTGATTAATTGCTCACATGGATAATTTTAGTCTTCAGGCTGACTGACATTGCATGATCGAAAGCCCCCCACTCCAAGTCACATTGTTGGTCTTTCTGATTGGCCAGCCCCAACCCTAAGATGATACCGGCACGGCCAGTCCCCTCCTTAAATCACATAGTTAGCCTATCCAGTGTGATCCAAGGCCACCAGGCAAAGGCACACTTACCATACGTAACATTCCAAGTGCCCAGAGATTACCTACCAGAAGTAAAGAGGAAAGGCCAGACCTTCTCTTTGGGCAAGACCAAATTCTTCACTACACACTTTTAGACAATTAATTTTTCTCTTTTATAGCTGTCTTCCTGTGATTCCTTAGTAACAGATTAAGCCTGTAGGGATTCTATTATGGAAAACTGGTTCTTTCAAATTTGAGCCTTGCATTTCTTGAGCTATCCCTTAAAAGATAAAAATTATAGGACACTTTTGATTTAACTGCATTTAAATTAAACCACCTTTATCCTTTTTTTTTTTTTTAAGAATAAAGGTTCTCTTCAGTTTGAAGACAAATGGGATTTCATGCGCCCGATTGTTTTGAAGCTTTTACGCCAGGAATCTGTTACAAAACAGCAGTGGTTTGATCTCTTTTCGTAAGTAATCCATTAATTCTGTTTGCTAACATAAAGGAAATTTTGGTGATGTTTTTCTGTACCCAAATGGAATGTACAACTGTGTATTGGTCTGTTTACCTATTAAAAATTCCTACTAGTGTGGTGTTGGGTCCCCAAGACATCCCCCAGGTTCCGTGATTTGCTAGGGGACTCCCAGGACTGAACATAGAGTGATACTCACAGCTATGCTATATTACAGTGAAAGGATACATAGCAAAATCAGCAAAGGGAAAAGGCACCTGGGGTAAAGTTTGGGAAAATATAAGCACAAGCTTCCAAGAGTCCTCACCCAGGGGAATCACACAGGACACACTTAATTTTTCCAGCAAAAAGATTGACAACATGTGTGATGTGGTGTTTACCAGGGAAGCTCGTAGAGACTCAGTGTCCAGGGTTTTTATGGGGGATGCTCATATAGGCAGTCTCCGCCTGGCATGTACCAAAATCAGTATAAACCGCATTGTTTGTATAAACAGTTTAGGTATAGTGAGCCACTTTTGTCATTTCTGGAAAGTTTTATGTAAGTGTAGGAAATGACTGTTCAAGTTCTAAGTTACCAGCCAAGAGCTAACCTTACAAGCAGGCTTTTCTAAGGAATGCAGTCTCAGGTCTGCTGTGTTAAGTCTTGGCCTTTGACCAAAATGTCTTTACAGCAAAAGTGTTGTCAGTATGCCCACCCCCCACCCCCTATGCAGCAGGACAAGACTGATCTGTAGTATTGATCTCAGTTATGCCTTGGATTTAGCTAGCTAAAACAAATCCCTTTTACCATAAGGTTTACCTTAGAAAACCAAGGGGCTTTCTCCTTCAGTTTCTGTATGAACCTTTTTTAGTATGGCCTCAAGTGTAAACTCAGAACAGCACAGCTAAGGCCAGTTAAGTTGAAGCAGACCTGAAAGCCTTCTGGGATTGAGGCAGTGTCGTGATAGGGTACGTACACAAATATAATCCCAGAGGGCATATGTGGAACCCCTGGAAACAAAGAGTTTAAAATTGTTAGGATACCCCAAGCCACGTATACATTAGTCAGATATTACAGGTTTTCCTGTGTGTCGCCTCCTACCATGGGGCCTTTCATTCTAGGGTTCCCAATCTAGTCCAGTTAATTCATTTCAGGCCTTGGTTTCAGATGGACTGCCTTAAGGCAGTTAGTTCCAAACAGTTTTGCTTATCCATCACACGTGTTCATTTGTTTCACTAGTGTGAATGATATCTGGAGGTTTTCTGTATGGGAAATGAAGAAGCTGGAGCTGTTCCCTGCTGTCTCATAGTGCCATTAGGTGTGATGGTAAGCTTGGCAGTCAGTTTGGTTTAAAAGTACTTGTGCTTTTGGAGGAAGAGACGGTCGCAGATGCAGCAGAAGCGTGGTGTGCCTGCCTCCTTCTGCTCCTGACTTAGTGCTGTTTGCTTTCACTGAGGAACAGGTCAGCCGCAGCCATCGCTTTTAAAGATCACAGGAAAAACACCCGTGGAGCCAGAGGTGGCAATTCACCAAATTAGAATTACACTAACCAGCAGCAACATAAAATCCCTGGAGAAGGTGTGTGCTGACTTGATCAGAGGCACAAAGGAAAAGAATCTCAAAGTAAAAGGACCAGTTTGGATGTCTATCAAGACTTTGAGAATCACTACAAGAAAACTACCTTGTGGTGAAGGTTCTAAGACTTGGGATCACTTCCAGATGAGAATCATCAAGCGACTCATTGACTTGCACAGTCCTTCTAAGGTCGTTAAACAGATTACTTCCATCAGTATTGAGCCAGAAGTTAAAGGTTGAGGTCACCACTGCAGATGCTTAAGTTAACTGTTTTAATAAATTGATTACCAGTTGTTTAAAATAAATAAGTAAATAAAATTACAGCAGCTTGGAAAGGCAACACTTGAGAGATTCTCTTTAGGAAGAGGGAAAAGCTTTCAGGGTTAGTTCTGAAAAGCAAAAATCATTAATGTCCTCCTTCCCTGTGCCTTCCCAGGTGATAGGTTTTGTTTTTTTCCCTTATAAAATTAGTGTAGCAGCTAGGTGCAGTGGCTTGCAACTGTAATCCCAGCTGCTTGGGAGGCTGAGGTGGGAGGATTGCTTTAGCCCAAGAGTTTGAGACCAGTCTGGGCAATGTGGTGAAACCTCATCTCGAAGAAACAAAACTGTATGTGAAAATCAGTGTATCCCATTCAGTAATGAAAACTTCATTTTTTCTTCATCATCCAGACCTACAGGAGAACAAAAGCATTTCTTTCCAGAAAAACATTTTTATACAACTTAATTAAAAGGCATAATCATGGTTAGGAATTGGTTAGGACAAAATCCTGAATTTTCAGAACTTTTCAAAATGGGTTTATGTTACCTCCCAGCTGTTTTGTCCTGATCAATTATCTAGTGAGTAGCCTAGAAAAAAAATCAGTTTCTTTCTGGGGGCAGCTGCATTTAATAACCAAATTGTCTTACTAAGATGCTTGTGCCAAGAGGGGTGAGAGGAAGGTGAGAGAAATAAAGCCAGGTTATTAATCTGTTGTTGTAAACTGTAACTAATCCAGAAAGCCAAATGCAATGAGACATCTTGAGGAGTCAAAGTTCAGTCTGTAAGGACTGAGTTAAGGGATTACACTTTGTGATGTGCTATCTTACAACTTGCATCTTTTGGCAGGAACCACAAGTTAGGAATGCAGTTAGTATCCATATCACATATATAAGACCAATCAGCAGCTTGATTTCAGATGGTCCCATCAGAGAATAAACCTTTTTCTGTGAGCTTCTGAAATTGTTGAGATGGTCCAGCCAGAATCCATGATGTTTTCATAGTTTATGGCTCCACAGAAACATGTCTTTTAAATTTTCAGTAGTCTTTGAGGCAAAGTCCTGTTTATTAAGCATATGCCTGCTTTCAGTTCTGCACAGCTTGTGTTGAGGTTGAAATAGCCTAGTAGCAGACAGTGTCAGGTTTGAGCTAGAAACCTGATACTGTGAGATCCAGGAAATTAAGATCTCTGAATTCACTATTCCAAAAAAGTTAGTGTCTTCTTTGGCAGCAGCAAAGCTAAGATGCTGCAAGCCTCACTGTTATGTTGCAAGTCCAAGTGACAATCAAGACTGGCCTAAGCCCTATTTATCTTGTCAGTCTTACAATCCAAATTGATCTGCTCAAAAATACACACATCAGGCTGAAAAATCATCAGCCTCTAAGGGTCAGACATCTGATTTCACAAGAGCTCAGTAGCAGTGAAAAACTGCTTTAGAATTCTAAAAGTATATTTCTAGCAGATTTCCTTTGTTTTCATGTTGTCTCCCTTTTTCCAGAGGCACCAGTAGGTAAAAATCAAACATCATTGATTATGGAGACTTAACTCTGTTCGCAGTACTCAAAAGAGTTTAAATTTCAATCCCTTCATCAGCAGAAAAAAGTAAGATTCTGTCTAGTTTACCTGATTGAGATAATACCTCTAGCATTTATGAAATGACCAGCATATAACATGTTATATCACTGTTTATCATACATCTAGATGCAATAGCTGCAAAATACAAAGCCATGTTTTAAACACCACCCCCTACTTTTTTTGGTCTTATTTTCAATTTAATCACGCCTCTAGCAATAAATTCAGTATTTATAAGATTAACATTACAACTGTTGGGAAATCCTGACTGGAATGTAGGGGTTAGGGAGGGACTACTGTAGTAGCTGCAGCTAGGCTGAAGAAACAGCTGCAATGGTTCTCTCCCCCTATTCCCTTTTCTCCCCTAGTTTATCTAAAGCTTTGCTCCAGCCCTGGGCTCTGATTTAGCTATTACTTTTTCATATTTAGAGGAGAGAGAAGTACAAACTTTTAACATTTTTGATCCACCCAAAACTCACCTTTGGGAACTTGTGGGCCTTTTCTCTCCCACCTGGAGGTGAGAACAAAAGCCAAGGATATTTATGCTATGCTTTTTCTCTCCTCTCTTTAGTCAACATGGCCAGAAATAGCCTGGGGAATGAGATAGTTCTAATCCCAGGAGAGTTGGCTATCATTTTCAGGTTTCATAGGTAATTTGAAAGACATGTAATTTCAGCAGACAGCTCAACTGCTGTTTCATACTATGAATGATTTTATACCAGCGTTTCTCATCCTACTGCTTCTTCCTTCCTCATGAATCCCTCTTATGACACTGACACCAATGGTATCAGCAGTCCCAACATCACCCTTACGTTCGGTGATTGCAAGGAAGACCCATTAGACTCACCATATAGTTATATTCATGGCTATGATTTGTTACAGGGAAAGATGCAAAGGGAAGTCAACAAAGAGAAAAGATACGTGTGCCAAGGTCCAGGGGGAAACCATATACAAGCTTCTAAATGTTCTCTCCCAGAGGAGTCACATAGGATGAGCTTAATTCCTCCAGCAACTAATTGTGACAATACATAAATCTTGTCTGCCAGGGAAGCTCATTAGACACTTAGTGCCCAAGGTTTTTATTGGGGGCTGGTCGCATAAGCACGTTATACCTGACACATACCAAAATTCCAGACTCCCAAAAGGAAAGCAAGTGTTCAGTATAAATCACAGTGTTGGTTGAATGTCCTCAGGATACTCAAGATCAATGTCCTCAGGATACTCAAGTCCTCAGGATGAAAAAAAAAAAAAAAATCACACTCTTTGTATAGACAGTTTAGGTATAGCAAGCCATTCTTATCAAGAAATGGTGAGAATCCTCCCAAAATCCAGATTCCCAGATGCCAGCCAAGGGCCAGCCTTGCAAACAGGTCTTTCTAAGTATAGCAGCAGTCTCAGGCCTGCTATAATAACTTTTTTTCAGCACACCAGTAAAATACTATATCACTGAATTGTAGATGTGTGATTGCATAACCTATGTGTATTGAGCTGTTAATGCTCATTTTCTCGCTTTATCACATAGAAAATATTCTAATTTCCTACATAACATAGAACTTGCATCAGATCAGTTATATTTATAATTCTCCTCTTTGAGAAATTAAAATGCAATAAGA